CCCCAGCGCACCCGCGCTTGGCGCACCAGCCCTGTGCGCAGCGCATCGCACACTGCGCACCCAGGTGCGCGGCGCGCGCCGGTGCGCACACACCTCGGGTCCGCGCTCCCCGCACTGCGCAGCGCACAGGGTCGATGCGCCGCAAGTATGATGCAGACCATCATCTCCTGCAGCCTCTTCGACAATTTTTATGTTGTCTGTTGCGGCTGGCCCCATTTCCAGCTGAGCTGCAGTATCCATATTAGGCTATTATTAGCATTTGCCATTGTGTGTTTGTGATGATGCATGTAAAAACACATTGCCAATCGCCTCAATACAACACAATTGTAATCCGACTGTGCGCAGCGCATCGCGCACTGCGCACCGAGGTGTGCGGCGCGCGCATACCTCGGGTCCGCTCTCCGCGCACCGCGCAGCGCACAGGGTCGATGTGCCGCAAGTATGATGCAGACCATCATCTCCTGCAGCCTCTTCGACAATTTTTATGTTTTCTGTTGCGGCTGGCCCCATTTCCAGCTGAGCTGCAGTATCCATATTAGGCTATTATTAGCATTTGCCATTGTGTGTTTGTGATGATGCATGTGAAAACACATTACCAATCGCCTCAATACAACACAATTGTATTCCGACCGACAACCCCCAAGAGAAAACCATGCACAAAAATCTACAATGGACATGCTGAATGTCGAATGCGTGGAGCACAAGGCAAGAAAGGGTTGGGCGAACAAAGAACACTGAAGCAAAGAGTATGAGGCAACAAGGCATTGAACAACAATTGCCAGCAAGGGACATAGGCTGGAGGGCATGGGAAAGGGGTGTGTGTGTGTGTGTGTGTGTGTGTGTGTGATGATGTGTGTGAAAACACGTTGGCATAGGTTCAGGACAACTCCGACCAGCGCGGCGCTACCGGGAGCGCTGCGCTCTGCCCCGGGTTGTGACATCGCACAGGTGGGCCATGGTAATGGCACGCGGTGCCGATGGTGGCCATCTCTTCTGTAAACCAGGCACTTTGCGCACGCGCAGGTGACCGAAGGCGCTTGTCCACGCCACGTCACAAGCTGATGTGGCGGCTGGACTAACTCCCATTTTTCTTCTTCTGGGAGTTCCACGTTTCACTCCATTGCCGCTGCGTTTTTTGCACGTGACATATGGCCTGAGAGGCGTTGGCTATGTCGACGCCTGTGGAGTACAGTGGAGTCAACCCTTGGTAAACTGAAGTGCGAGTGCAGTGTCGACTGCAATCATGAGGAAGAAGATGTGTCAGCACAATCAGGGCGCCGCTCATCATCAGCAACGGGGTGTTGATCACCACCAGTACCATCATCAACAGGGCGCGGTTCGACACCATCGTCACAGTAATGGTTCATCATCATCATCAGGGTGCTTCTCGTCATCATCATCATCATTATTATCATCAACAAGGCGTGGTTCGACATCATCATCACGGTAATGGTTTGTCATCATCATAAGGGTGCTGCTCGTCATCACCATCATCATCATCAGGGTACTGCTCGTCATCATCATCAAGGCGTAGGTCTTCACTTCTGTTCAGCACTAGTATTATCATCATTATCAAGGAGTCGTTCATCAGGGGTGCTGCTCGTCACTCATCGTTGTACTACCATCATCAATAGTTCACCATCATAGGGCTCGGTTGGCGAAGTTCGTCATCATAGGGCGCTGCTCATCCCTATCATCATCATCATTAGGTTATCATCAAAGGTGCTCGTCATCAGCACCATCATCATCCTGTTCTCATCACAAGGTGTTGTGCGTCATCAATACCATCATCATCATCATCATCATCATCATCAATTTGTCATCATTAGATGTTGCTCTTCAATGCATTGTTTGCCTTTCACATCAGCAGGTGAGTTGGTTGTCAGCATCATCCTCATCATCATCATCTTTAGGGTGCTGTTCATCGTCATCAGCAAAATTCAAAAAAAAATAAAAATCATCTACCTTTTCTCCATCATAATTTTCAGAAATTTGAAATTTCCAATTCTTCCACTCATATCTCAGGAATCCTATTTCCTAAATTCCTTGTTTTCTTTTTCCACTATTAATTTCCGATTTCCCTTTGGGCGCACTAATGAGTTATTTTTGCACGGGTGGGGGGTTGGGGTTTTAAGGAGGAGAGCTCTACTCTGCAGGGGCTTCACAAGGTGGGGGCTGAAATGCCCTGGAGGGGGTGGGGACAAATTTTTGGGGGATGCCCTATTTTGGGGCTGGGAGAGATGTATGGGTTGGCATCATATCCCAGCGGAGGCAGATAGGGTTGAGGGGTTGGCTGAGGCATACTTTGGGTGGAACTGGATGCCTTAGTGGAAGTTGGGGGAGGAAGCAGGTATGTCCCAAGTTGGGGCCGATAAGGAGAGCTTGTGATCAGGGCAGCCCTTTTCGGTGGAGGCAGCGGAGGGACAGGGGGAGATGGAGGGGAGGGGGGGGCAATAATCCACAGAAACATCCGGAATTCTGATTCTCCCCTTGAGCATAAGCAAATTATTTCTGGTGGGGTGGTGGGTTGGTTCTGGGGGCAGAGCTCTACTCTGCAAGGGCTTCACAAGGAGGGAGGTGATTACCCTGGCGGGGCAGATTTTGGGTGATGCTCTATTCTGGGGCTGGGGGAGATGTATGGGTCGACATCATATCCCAACGGTGGCAGACAAGGGCAAGGGGTCGGCAGAGGCATACTTTGGGTGGGAACTGGATGCCTTTGTGGGAGTGGGGGGGGAAACGGGTCTGTCCCAAGTTGGGGCTGATGAGGAGTGTCCATGATCAGGGGCGGTCCTTTTTGGTGGAGGCAGCGGTGGGGCAGGGGGACGAGGGGTACAGGGGGGAATTTATATATCCTTTGTTTGTATTTGGTGGGACTTTTCCTGATTCTTTCTGGAGTTTTCAAAACAAGCACCCTTGTTATTCCTGGTAGTTTGAAGAATCTCTCGGGACTCCGAGGGTCTGCTGGTGGTTTGTACAAAGCTGCACTGGAATTAGACTGTTATATTCAGGATCCGTGGCTGTTCAATGCCAGAACGACGCTGGCCGGAACCGGGGTGATGCCCTGTAACTTGCCGAAGGTGAGGGCATGAGGCCTTGTAGAGAGATCTGGGATGCTATGAAGGGGCATCCTAAGGGACAGTTGGGGGTTGCTGGCAAAGGACGACACTGGCCGGAGCTGGAGTCGCGTTGCTCTGTAACCTAGCAGATAGGGGGCGTGAGGCCTGGATGAGTTTGTCAGAGAATAAGTCAGTTTTAGCGAGCTTTGTTATGACCTGTTGGAAATCCCTTAGATACGCGAATATTCGAAAAATTGCAGTGGATTTCAGGAGGTGTTTAGCGATCATAAAAAAAGATCCGTAGTCTGTTCATCATCTATCCCGAAGTCCAGTAGCTTGTTCACGATCTTGGAGGAGGATACTCTCAAAGCTGAAACCGGGTAAATGGCCCCGGTACCTCAATTGGTTCATTAAAAAAAAAAAAAAAAAAAAAGGACAACTCCGACCAAGGACCCCCCAGGAGAAAACCACACACAGAAACTTGAAGACAGTTCTCACATAACTCCATAGTGGACGAGTTGAATATTGACTGTCGAATGGGTGGAGCACAAGGCAACGACGGAAGAGGCAGAAAAAAAAACAAGGGCATAGGGGACTGTACGGAAATGGGTCACCCGAAATCATGCACTGTGCTCTTCGTATTTTACTCTTCATTGGAGTTGGTAGGAAAATCTGCACAAATAGGACTTCATACTTGGTTACCAGACACTGATCCATCGTCATTTAGATTCCCCGCCTCTATTTGGTACAGAAACGGGCACCACGAGGACAGGGTAACGCTCCACCACTCCCCACATGCAAAGAAGACAAAAATTATGGCGGCGTATCTTTCCATGTTCTTGGAGATAATTCATTCCCATTTGCACACAAGGTGGGTAGTGGGCGAGACTCTTCATTTTGGAAACTGGCCTGCCCCTTCCCATCCCAGTTGGACTCGAACTTGGGTTTGCATTTCAACAGCTTGTGGGTGTGCCACACAACTGGGGCAGTTCACGTAAGTTTTGTTTTAATTTTTTTTCTTTACTTTGCTTTTTCAGATTCTCCCCTCCCCCACGAGGTACAGAGGTGCTGCCCCCTTTTTTTTTTTTTGGGTGAAACATCGGCTGCAGGGAGTGGGGGGGTGCTGGTAAGAGCAGACACCCCCTCTACCGACGCCGCCATTTGGATGGCTCCGTTCCATTGGTGGGGAGCTGCACCTGCTGGAAATCGGGTCCAGCGTCCCTTGACATTTAACCATTAAGCAGGTCCATCGCCACTGACTTTTAATCGTTAGGCTGTGCAGTCGAGACCAGTACACCATCGCTCCCCTGCCTGGACCCTGTCATGTCGTGGCTGCTGTTGTCTTTATATCCTCAGCAGGGAGAACCATTGCATTCCGTCACCTTTGCGTCTTTAGGCAATGGTGCCACTTGTGCAGTGTGCCTGCCAGATGCATTGTCGATCGTCCTTCCTGTAGCAGTTTTACTCTGTTGGATTATATCTGCAATTGGTCAGCATTCCCATGTGGCTGCTGCTTCATCCACTCGCCGGGCCTCCCAGTTCCGCCGGGTGATTGAGGGAGGGAAGAGGGGCCGGGTGTGGGGAAGAGGAGGGGGGAGGGGGGGCAGGACAGGGTGATGAGGGTGCTGAGGGTGCTGAAGGGGCGAAGCGGGAGGAAAGGGCAGTACCACATGGGGCAAGAATGTCTGCCAGGCTTTGGGGAGGAAGTGTTTGGGGCAGGCGGCAGTGGAGGGGTGGGTGGGCAGCAGTCAGGCACTATGTTATGTTATGTTATGAGATGAGAACGAAGCTAGGGTGAAGGTATGGGACGTCGAAACAGTGGAAGGGTCCTCGTTGCCACGAGGGTTCTGTCCTCCTCCAAGGCTTCCACTGAATGCTGAGCCTGGTGTCAAGCTCAGAAAAGATGTGGTGAGGGTCCTGCCAGAGCTGGCGATAGGCCTCTCGGATGGCCTCCTTCACAATGACGTCCTTTTCCTACTTAAAAAGGATTTCCAGGCTTCGTGTGTACGGGGCCTGATCACCTCCTCAATCGTTTGCTGGGCTTGCTGCAGTCCAAATTGATGGTCTCTTCTTTCAAAGGAACATCTGGCTCTCCAGGCCAGCGTCAGGACATGCAGCTTTGTATGTGAGAATAGGTTAGTAGCGAAGGGGGACTGTTGTGCCAGCAACTGTTGGTTCTTGCCCAGCAGCAGGAGCCCCAGGTCCCACGGGATGTGCACCCCCATGAGGGAGTGGAAGGCAGCGTCCCACCATTTCCACAATTGGGTAGCCATAGGGCAAGCCAGCAGGCAGTGTTCCAGTGTTGCCCGGGTCAGCGTGTTGACCTGCCGCAGAAAGTGCAGATCGGAGACAAAAGCCCTTTCTGCTCGAGGTCTGTTATGGAAACAAGCCAATCAGGCGTGGGTAGACAACGATGAAGGATCTGCCACTGAAGTGCTCTAAGGTTCGTGGGCATGATTTTGGAGTACTTAGCCCAGGGCAGATTTGTTGGCAGGCTACGGTCCAGGGGCGAGTCTCGCTCCCATCTACAGGAAACAGTTTGGTCACTGGCAGGGTTGTGCGCGAGGCCGTATATCCTCCTTTGATAGTATAATCCCATATATGCATGGGCTTAGGTCCAGGCCACTCCCATTCCCCTGGATCGAAGGGGAGCCTGGCGACCGGTAACGTGGGCTCAAATACAAAGAAGCCCTCTTGCGGACTCCCCACCACTCTGACATGCATCACCCCCCCCCAATTGTCCTCACTATCCAGGTTTTTTTTTTTTTTTAATAAACCCAACTCCTTCTATTCTGGGGACCGTCAGTCCGGTTCCTATTCCACCGGCAAGTCACAACATAATACATTACAGATTAAGAACACACGCTTCCTCCCGTCCGGCCGGAGGACCCTTGAACGACATCGATTACTCCACCCTTGGTGGAGGATTGACTGTCAGCTTGCCTTGAGTCTCTCTTCCCTCTCAGATCTGCCCTAACAGCTCTGCCATAAATCTCTATTAAACCTAGGAAGAGATCCTCCCTTGCTGCCGTGTAACCTACCTTCCTCTTTTTACCAATCCTTCACAAAAGCTGTGTTCCCCCCTGTTCCCCTTAACCCCTTTCTCTGCCTTTTAGGTGTTGTAAAACCCTAAACCCTAAACCCTGCTTCCTCCCCTGACGCTTTAATTGGTATCCCTTATCCCTTATTCTCCCCCTCCAATCTTATACTGTGAAGGGACGACCAGGGCAACTTCCCCACCTGGTCTCTTGGTATCCCCTCCCTCTTTTCCCATCTTAAGGCTAGGGGAAGATCCAGTTGGGTCGATCTTCTCCTCAGCCTATAACCCAGTCTCGTTGTATAGCGGAGAATGTTGATCTTCGTTGCCACTCGTGTCTCTCCACCCCTAATATTCCATGCCCATTCCGCCGGGTCGTACTCCAAATCTTTGATGGCTACCGTGGGTGCAAATACTGTAAATTCGTCATCCTCTACCACCCTGATCTTCCTGAGCATGCACTTCTTAACTGTGATTGCCGTCTTGGATTCCTTATCCAGGTGACTCACTGTGATTCCCGGATTACGAATTACGAACATCTCTGCATCCAGCCACTGTTTATCGGGGCCCACTTCCTGCTGCACCCGGAAGGCCTGCTCTGGAACTGCACTTATGTGCCAGGTCGCCAAATCACCCCACTCCCATTTGCACAGCCCTCTCAACAACTGCGTCCGTTCCTGCGGAATGGAGATTAGAACGTCGTTTAGATTCTCCGTGAGCTTATGGCAACCTTTCATCGTGGCTCTCAGTTCCCTCCCCGTCTTCCATCTATTGTCATTCTGGGACCATAAGTGCTTGATCTGCCAGACCCCGTGTTCCAACCAATTCCCCCATCTGGTATCCCTTGCTGTTAGTGTCCTCGGCTTCCCTTGGGAATCCTGTAACCAGGGCTTACAGAACAATGGTTGCCTGAGGACTTCCTCCTTGGATCTAGGTTTCCGTACTCTAGCCGGGAATATCTCTTCCCATATCCTGAGAATCTGGGCCCAGTATGATGGGAAGGAAGTCCCCTCCTCACCCCCCCGCTCCCTTGTCCTACCCCTTTTTGCCCACCCTTTGCAGAATATCCAGAAGGTGCCCTCCATATTTGGAGGAGTTGAGTACTTCGCAAGCCCTCGTATGTGCTCCAATACTAGGGGAACCCAGCGCAAGTGGGGTTGTGTTACCAGCTTGATAATCCATTTCGATTGGAGTGCCTTAATCTGCTGCTCGGGATCCAGAATGCCCAGCCCCCCCCTATTCTTTGTTTGTGTTACCTGTTTCCAGGCTACCTTGGAAATGAAGTTACCCTTTGTTGGGTTCCCTGTCCACAGATAGGCTGTTGCAACCCTTCGGAGCCTTCGAAGTGCTGGTCCTACGGGTGACCACAGGGTGCCCGCATACCATAGCATGGAGAAGATGGAGGCATTGAGGACCAAGGCTCTCCCGTACAGGGAGGTATAAATGTTAGACCATGCGTCCAGCTTAGCTAGCATTTTGGTCATCTAATCAGGGGCCATGGAGTGATGGGGGCCCTCGTCCGCTAGCCTAATCCCCAGATACCTCAACGGTTGGTGTGGAGGTAGCCACTCCATTCCCCCATGGTCAGGGGGTTGGGGCTGCTGGTGCTGCTGGTCGTATATGAGCCACCATCCTATCATTTTGGGCCAGTTAATCCTCATTTCCGATGCCAACTGGAACGCTTCCATCGCTTTTGTGAGTGCTTGAAAAGAGGAATCCGTGGCCCTGATAAGTACTGTGAGATCGTCTGCGAATAGTATCGTGGTGGGTAGTTCTATTATACGCCCCTGCTAGTCCAGTTCTGCTATCAAACGGTCGATTGAAGGATCTTTCCTAAGGAATGAAGCTATGGCTTCCATGATAAAGAGGAAGATAGGGGCGGCTAATGAGTCACCTTGCCTCACTGATCTAGTCATTCTATATCTATCTGAAAGATATCCGTTGACTTGTACCTAGCCGTGTGAGTCATTGTATAATACTCTCACCCACTTGCGAAAGTTGGGACCTACTCCCATTTTCTCCATACATTGCTGTAGAAAAGGCCAGCTGACCTGGTCATATGCTTTCTCGAAATCAAAGAAGAGGATGGCCGCGTTCATTCTTTTGTTCGCTATGTACCTCACCGATTCCGATAGAGTCATCACGTTGTCCAGGATGAATCTCTCTGGGATAAAGCCTGTTTGATCCAAGTGGAAGCAGTTGGCCGTTAGCCTCCTCAAGCGGTTCGCTAATGCTTTGGCCACTATCTTGTGTGTTAGTGTCAGGAGCGTAATGGATCTGTAGTTTCTAATGTCTCTGGGGTTTCCCTTCTTGTACAATAAGGTGACTACCCCTGTTGATGATTCCGTTCCCATGCCTTCGTTGATCCATGCCTGGTTCAAGAAGGCTTCGTATTCCCCTCCCAGGATTTCCCAGTACTCCTGCCAGAACTCCCTTGTTAGTTCGTCTCTGCCCGACGTTTTGTTTGGAGGCATTGTATCTAAAGCCTCTCTCAGCTCTTCTTGCGAAAGCGGGGCGTCTAGCCTCGCCGCCTGGTCCCCATTCACCGTGCGGTCCAGATAGGCTAGGAATTTATTCCGAACTTCCTTTACCTGTCTTGGATCCTGGTCCCCTTCTCTACACCTATAGAGTGAAGTGTAGAAGCTACTGGCTACCGACAACAACCCTTCGGGATCTGACACTACTCCCTGAGGGCCTTCCAGCTGCTCAATTTGCGAATTCCTACCTCTATCCATGTTTTCATTCCTTGTTAATTTGAAGAATCTGGCTCCTGGCAACTGGGGCCCGTACGCTTGTAGTGTGCATCGCCCTTCATCACTGTTGTGTACCCTATATATGGCATGCAGGTAGGGGAGGTCCATGTACTTAACCACCCAGTCGTCTTGCACCATGGTGGGGCCTGTTCGGAGGGCAAGTCACCAGGCCAGGGGGAGGGCTAAGTCTCAGCTGCAGTTGGTCAGTCGTGGCCCAGTCTGCTGTCACCGGGTCCTATAGGTCCCCCACCGTGAAAACTCCCATTTTGGCCCACGTAAGCCATGGGGAGTAGCATGCATGGGTTGCCGAACAGCGGCTGCCTCCAAATGTCTTGCCATTTGTTGGGAGATTGTTTCTGCTGCAGGCCACGCCTCCTCCACACTTTGAGCATGCACAACCACAAAGGGTCCAGGAGTATGTCTTCTTTGGCTGCCTGTTGCGGGTTGTTCGCCTGTCGTTGTTGAGAGGGGGAGGGTAGTACTTATTGGTTAGCCATCGGAAGGGATGCAGTTTCTTGGTCGCTGGCATCTCAGGTGCCAGGTCGGCTATCTACCAGCAGGCCAGCGGACCCCAGGGGATATCGTTACCTACGAGCAGACTGACCAAAACCTTGAAGATCAGCGCTTCACTCTCCCTCTCCGGGTCTAGTATCCCCAACCCCCCTCTGGCCCTTGGCTGCGTGAGGACATCCCAGGCCACCCGCTGTATACATCTCAGCGTTCCATAATAAATATTTTTTCCCGAGGTACACCGTAAGCGCTTTCTCAAGTCTGGTGTATTGTTGTGGCTTTAGTGGCCAGACTACCAATTTGTACCAGATGGCCGCCAAAATGGCATTATGATGGCCAAGGCCCACCCTACCAGCAACGTGTGCAGTCCATCCCATTTAGCCAGTCGGTCTATTGCCATATTCACCAGCATATCCCAATGATCAGGTGGGGGCCCAACCGCAGTGAGTCTCACCCCAAGAATTATGATGGCCTCTTCCTTTCGCACCCAGGCTACAGTTGGCACTTGGCGGGGGGGGTTCTCCTTGTGGGTGGAGCCACCATCCCTCTGACTTGGCGCCCCAAATGATCTTCATATCTGCCGCCAGTGAGAAGAGATCTATAACCTGTGTGAGGGCATGTATGCTATCTGCGTCTGCTCGGATGAGCACGGTGAGATCATCTACGAACAATGACGTCACCAATATGAGGTGGTTTGGGATTTCAGGGATGGGCACTCTGCTGATCATGGGGTGAGTTGCCCCTTCTTTTTCTTTTTTTTTTTCTTTTCGTTTTTTTAAAAGTAAGCTACATTCTTCTCTCAATTTCACCTCACACTACCTACCTACCACTGCTCCTAATTATAGTCCTATGCGGAACCCCGTAGCAGCCAGAACCGTGTTCACCAGAGAACATACGGGGGCTGCTCCCGACCTGCAGGTGGGCGATACCAGGCGCAGTGGGAATGGCAATGGCCACAGGAAAATAAAAAGAAACTATTGTGGTGTATCTTTCTGGCGGACGATTCATTCTCATTTTACACATTTGATGAGTAGCGGGGCGAGGTGTGCCACTCGAGCTGTATCTGGGTTCAAACTTGGGTGTGTACTTTCAAACAGCTTGAGTGGCTGTTTGTCGTTACCCGTTGCCCTTTTCTAGGGGCACCAACGGGCAGCCTTTCGGAGGATAAACGAGTTTCACAACAACAAAAAAGAAAAAGATGCACAATAATTTAAAACGAACGAGCTGGTTACACCAGCCTCAGTTAGTAGCTGTGTGGAACCACGACCCACGCCCCTTCACCAATATTTGAATATTCTAGGCCACAGGATCGTGAATCCTGCGGCCAGAATCATGTTGCGTGAAGGGGTGAGAGTGGAGAAGGAAGTTGAAGGGTGAGAGAGGGAACGGGAGTTGGGAAAAAGGAGGACCTACCCCTCCTAAACTGCCAACTGCCTCCCCGGTTTTCAGGGGGTGGCAGAGCACAAGGTAGAGGTGTTGTTAGCTTTAACAGCACGAACCTGGCAGGAATAAAGGCCAGAGAACGGGAGTGGGAAAAAGGAGGACCTACCTCTCCCAAACTGCCAACTGCCTCCCCGGTTTTCAGGGGGTGGCAGAGCTCAAGGTAGAGGTGTTGTTAGCTTTAACAGCACAAACCTGGCCTGAATAAAGGCCAGGCCCTTCACAGTTTTGGGGGTTGCATTTTTTACTATTTCTTTTTGTATTTTCCTTTCTGTAATGAACCCAGTCAGGAGAGAAACTCATCAGGTGTCGAAATAAAAGATATCTCAGTGCTGATAAATGTCTCCAATAATCATGAAATGTGATCTGTTGTACAATTTCTCGTAACCATAGGACGAAGCTTATAGGAAGGAGAATAGACTTAAGAGGGTGGGAGAGAAAGTATCCATCAATGCCTTGTAGATAGATCTCCCTCAATCCCCACTCCTCTGGGCATCTCCCCAACGTCCACGTCGGCAAACAGTATCCAGAAACGAGTATGACAAGATCTGATCACAGCATGGTGCCACGTAGGCAAAAATCTCCCATGAAGACGTCACTGCAGCGCGCAATGTCGACAACATCAACAGGTAAGTTTCCCTCTCTCCCTCACTCAATCAATCCCACAGTTCCTGGTCTCCCTCCTTGTCGAACCCCCAATCTGAGTCGAAGACAATGTGGCATGCGCCACGTCCGCAATGTCGAAGACAGCGTGGCAAGTGCCACGTCAGCAACCAAGAAGACAGTTGGCGCCTAGAAACAGAGGGGCGCCAGACGCAATGCAGCAGTCTCACATCGTCGTAGCATAGTGCCAGCGTAATGCCAGCGTCCTGCCAGCGTCAAGCCAGCGTCAGGCCAGCGTCAAGCCAGCGTAGTGCCAGCGTCAAGCCAGCGTCGTGCCAGTGTCAAGCAGCAAGTGCAAGACTGAATGTTGACCCCCAGGGGCTGGGTCAATAAATAATGTTGACGCCATTGACGAGCCTTTGGTCTCTCATATACAAAGGCTCAGATTGACTCAGAGCCGACGGCCTGGATCGCGTACAGTTACAGACTTCCACCTGGACCAAATGCTGCCTGGATACCTGCGTACAACCAAGTGTGCGTGTCTGATCGGTGGCCTGGACAGGGTCTGTGAAGACTTTGACTCGTGAGCCTCAATATCCCGAGCTGCAGTTAACTTCGGTCAACTGTTGGGGCGTAGGGCTTCTGAAGCCTCGTTTCAGGGGCTTTGTTTCCCACAGTTGGACGCAGGGCCTTGAGGCCGAACTGTGGCCTGCGGGGGGACCCCTTGGCCGACGACATAGGCATATTTGAGTGGGTTATTGCATTTCTAATCCGTACATCCTTGGGAGGACAATTGTCCCAATGAGGTGCAACCTCTGGCACGGGCTGCCCGAGGTAACGGTTAGGCTCCCATTCATGAAGGGGGGAGGGCTGATAATTCAAGAGCCATTTTGAAAATGGCTAAATACAACCCTTACCTGGACGTATCTGCTTTGGGGAAAATGTCCAGGTGCACTAAACAGTAAGGGGCTGTAACTTTCAACCCCTTATCAGAAAAATAAAAGAAAAACAGATTTACGAATCCCGAAAATTCAGCTATCTCATACCACTTGTTGCTATTATTATTATTGGGAGAAGAAAAAGATTGGTCGAGACGAGGAGGAGGAGGAGAGTGGAGAGAGAAGGGGGATTTGTCATTGGTCTTGCTGGTGTACTTCTTCTTCTTCTTTCTTCTTCTTTGGTCCCTATCTCTTTGCAAGTGCTTTCATTTCTTTTGCAATTGGGTGACATTGTCTTTCCTTGTGAATCTGCACTTTGGAAATAGCCAGGATGATAACAAAACACAAGCGACAAAGAAGTACCCACAAGATTGCTTATTTACATCGTTGCCAGTTTTGATGTGAGCAGTACGTCCTTCATGGCCTTTCCCGATATCTTTCCTGGCTTCCTGGCGGGTGAATGTCGTCTTTTTTTCCCCCTTTTTGTGTTTCATGTGGGCCCACAAGAAGGCCCTTCTTGCCGAGCCTCCGCCGACCCGCGAAAACTTTGGGTAAAATGGGAAAACTGCCAGTTTTCACATTTTCCGGAAGAGTGTGCGAGGTGGTGTTGGTTTAGGCAAAGTTTCCCAAACTTTTTTTCTTTTTTTTTTTAACTTCCATATATTCTTCTCTCGTTATATCTCCCACCACCTACCTATGCATCCAGTTTTTCGATGCACCTAAGCTGGGCCTGTCCCTTTTTCGAGTTGAGCCTCAACTCTGCTCTGTGCGGGGAGCAGTACCCCGACTCCTAACCCCTGGCACATG